GCTGCTGCAGCAGCAGCAGCCGCTGTGTAGCTGCTGCGCGGGGCGCCTGTGGCTGCTGGTTGCATGTGTCTAGGGTTTAGGGTTTACGGTTTAGGGTTTAGCCTTCAGCGTTTGTGCAAGCTGAAAAAGCATTTGTGTTTCCTTTTTGTATTTCTGCAGTCCGCCCTTTCCTAAACCTCGAGCAAAGATGATGGTGCGCCGCCATCCCAGCCCTAAACCCCAAACCCTAAACCGTAAACCCTAAACCCTAAACCCTAGAGCACTTCTTTCCTTCTCCAGCTCGCTCCTCCATACACTTCAAAGAAACGCCTAAAGACACAGAGGGCCCCTCTGGAGGCCCTGGGCTGTTTGTGGGGCTGACGTATCGAGGGTTTAGGCCCAAAACACAAAAAAGGGTTTAGGGTTTAGGGTTTAGGGTTCGGCGGATACCAGATCCAAGGGCTTCCTGCTTGCAGCTGCAGTGCATGCAGATCCAGCCCCTAACTACGAAGAAGCGCCTAGGGTTTAGGGTTTAGGGTTTAGGGTTTAGGGTTTAGGATTTGTGTGTGTCTTGCAGCAAGGGGAGGTTGGCCCTGGTATCTTAAAGCAGGGGGCCCAAGAGGACAGGGGAGACACTGCGCGCCTGGTGAGCGAGGGTTTAGGGTTAAGGGTTTAGGGTTTAGGGTTTAGGGTTAAGGTGTGTTATCTGGTAACGGAGTTGGAGCCTTTGGGAGCTAGCTAGCTTTCTAGCTAGCTAGTTAGCTAGCTGTGCTTCTGGCTCCGTGGCTAGCTTCTGACTCTCCTCAGGGTTTAGGGTTTAGGGTTTAGAGTTTAGGGTTTAGAGTTTAGGGTTTAGGGTTTGGTTGGCGCGTCTAGCCAGCTGCTGCTGGCTCTGTCGCTGTCGCCCTTCTTTGCTTTTACACTTTCTGTTTTTTTCGTTTATTAAATAATAAACAAATAAAATAAATGAAAAATTAAATTAAATTAAATAATAAATAATTTTATTGGGAAAGTGCGCAAAGGAGGCGCGGATCCAGTTGGGGTTTTGTAGGAGCAAAAGCTTGACACCTGTGCTGGTAGCCCTGCACCCCGCACACCCTAAACCCTAATTTAGGGTTTGGGGCTTGTCTGCGCCGCTACTCGCACTGGCGGCGCCTTCGTAAGCACGTTTGGTTGGGCGGAAACCCTGAGCGAGGGTTTGGAGATTGGCGGGGTGGTTGTTGCGTTTCGGCGCTGCGGGCGAAACCCCGTTTTAGGGTTTGCGGCTGCGAAACCCTGTTTTGGGGTTTGCAGCAATACTTCGTGGGCGCCGTCGCCGTGGGCGACCTCGTCAAGTCCACGCTGGGCCCCAAAGGCCTCGACAAAATGCTGCAGCAAATGCATGCAGAAGCAGCAAGAAGAGAAAAGCCCCTCGTCACCAACGACGGGGCCACCATTTTGAAGTCCGTGTGGCTGGAAAACCCCGCCGCCAAGGTCCTCGCTGGTGGGGCTAGGGTTTAGGGTTTAGGGTTTAGGGTTTGGGGGTTGGGGGGTGGGGTTTGCAGTTTATTATTGGCTGTTTTTTGAATTAAAGTCACGGAGTCGGCTTGCAGCTGCTGCAGCAGCAAAAGTGCCCCGCAACAACTCCCGCTGCTGCTGCTGCTGCTGCTGCTGCTGCTGCTGCACAGATTTGGCGCTGCAGCAAGACATGGTTTGCGGCGACGGGACTACAGGAGTTGTTGTTCTTGCTGCTGAGCTGCTGAGGGAGGCTGAGCAGCTTGTGGAGAAAAACATACATCCCCAGGTTAGGGTTTAGGGTTTAGGGTTTGGGGTTTAGGGTTTACGGTTTGGGGTTTAGGGTCTGGGGTTCCGGCGTGCGGCCGCGGG